CCCCCCCCCCCCAATAAACTGCAATGCAGTTTTTAAAACTGAAGGCACTGTAAAATATACTGCATACACCTCTGGGCACATGCATACGGCCCACAGGCTGGATCCAGCCAGAGCTGCTTTATCTGGCCCACTGGGCTACCGGCAAGCAACCAGAAGTAGAGGGACATAGCTAGTAGGCCCGTGTGAATAGGGAGGTATTCAATTCAGATTCGGCCAATTTGGAGGACACCGATTCAATTTGGACTGCTGTCCTGAATCGATTCGGCCAAATCAGCTTTGGAAGATTTGGTGCTGATTTGGCGATTCGGATCGGCCGGGGAAAGCTAGGCACAGGTGGGTGGCTACTGGTTCTCCCACAGCTCCTCCAACTGTGTCTGCCTCTCCCCAGGTGGCTCTGGCTGACACATGGAGCCACCCCAGTGCCCAGGTGAATCGAACTGGGGGATGGGTAATCGAACCAGGGGCTGGGGGAATGCTCAGGTCCCTGAACATTCCCCCAGTTCCTGGTTCGATTCCCCAGCTCCCCAGTCTTTCCCCCAGCTCTCGGATTGTTTCCCCCATCTCTTCCCGGGGAGGGTGTAGGCCCATAGACAATGCAGGATGACAGCAGGCTGCTGCTGCCAGCTGGTGATGGCAGCAGCTCTGGGCTACTTCCCCAGCCAGCAGCAGCAGCCTGCTGAAACCCTGTGCACAGATCCGGGGGCTGTGCCTGCCCCCCCGCCCCGGAAGAGTTGGGGGAATGATCAGAGAGCTTTGGCTGACAGGGGGAGCAGCCCCAGCTCCCCGTGTGCAGTACCCTGCCGAGCTGCGCTGTACCTGTGCCATGGGACAGCTGCTGCAGGGGTGCCAGGTGGTGGTGGGGCAGTGATCCCCACTGCCACCTGGTGTGTGCAAGTGCAGGGCTTTTTTTTTTTTTCTTGCTTTTTTTTCTTTTTTTATTCTTTTTTTTTTTAAAGTATCAGGAGGCTGGACTGAGCTGGGCAGGGGATAGGGCCAAGCAGAGCAGCCATGGGGGCTTCTCCCTGCGGCTGTGCATCTGCCCCAGCAGGAGAAGCCATGAGGGCTCTGCCCTGCTGCTGCTGCTTACCAGCGGGTGCGGAATGCGGGTGCAGCAGCGCTGAGAGCAGGGGTTCTGCTTTGCTGCCACTTGCCCCCTTCCACCTAAAGCGAGCCGCATCTACATCACGCCCCCTCCCCTCCCTGGTTGGGCAAGCACCAGCAGGGAAGTGCCCCCACTCCCAGTGCTGCTGTGCCTGCATCCTGTGTCCCCACGCCCTGAGTAATGTGCCCCACTGCCCCGGCTGGGCAGCTTGTCTCAGCCCCAATCCCTCCTTCCCCTATGCCCCTTCCTTACCTCCTCCCTCAACCCCAACAGGCTTATCAGCTTGAGGCAGCTGTCATTTGCCTGTTTAGTCTATGGCTGAATCTCTGAATTGGCCAAATCTTTTTCCAAAGCTTTTCCGGATTGATTCAAATGTTCCAAATCGGTCTGAATCTCCTCTGTGTTGAATCAGCTACTGAAGTTTTGCACAGCCCTAATGGCTAGAGAAAGCAGCCTGGTGCAGAATCTGGGACCTTTGGGCCCTGCTGGACATGCCCATTAGTGGCAAGAGGACGAGTGAGGGCTGATACATCCCAAGTCACCTTCCAGCTGTTTCAGCTGTCACCACTGCCAAACTCCTAAACTCTTTGGTTGCTAGCTCTGCTGCTGCCCATGCTGGAGCCTCTGTGCAAGAGCTGCAGGTCCCACTGCATGCCCCAGGCTGGAACCATGCCATGCCCCATGTTGGATCCAGACCACAAGGAGCCTCAAAGTCCAAATCTGGTCCAAGGCACGAGCTGAGTTTGATACCCCTGAACTACAGTATCTTAAATTTAAATGTGAACCAGAAACCATACATTCCTTCACCCAAGTCTCCTTAGGAGTTCAATCTGGTAACTTCCTTGGAGCACACATCTAACAGGTACCAACAGAACCGTGTTCCTCGCATAATGCAGCAGTAGTCATTTTAATGCACAGACAGAAGATGCAGAGATGTTCTTCACCCTTATAATACGGGTCTAGTGATTACAGCACTTGAGGCCTATGATCACTTCACTCCCCTGCATGAACCTAACCACCAGTCTACAGACTATACTAGATGGGAGCCATTGTCCATTCTTTCTTTTGAAGAATTCAAGATTCACTTATTCTGAGTGATAACAAGAAATTGTGATGATGACGACTCAGAAGTTAGGGCAATGGTTCTCAATTGGGGTGCTTTTTTCTGCAGTCCTTCCTAATCAAACCTTGAAGGCTTCTCTAAGAAAGCACCATGCAGCAAAGATGAAACTGCCTCATGTGCCCCTGTGTCTGGGAGAAGTGTGGAGGGTTGAACCATGAAAGACTGGCAAGAGTGGGCGCTCCTGCCTTTTTGATGTTTATCAGATAACCCTAATACATATAGGAAATTTGAGTTTTACCTCACTCAGAGAATGGTACTAATTGAACCTGAGTTTTCCACATTGCCAGAAAAGTGCTTACCTACTACACAGGAAGGAAGGGCAACACCACCATCTCCACTGGCCTCATTTTTAAAATAAGGGAGAGAATCTTAGACAAGTCTTCGAAAGAATGATTGTAGGCACCTTCCCTCAGGAGATTATTATTACTGACTCTGCTGGTTTCTTGGGGAAAACAAGCATATTTGCAAATAGTAATAGCTATCACTGCTGTGGTAGGTGCAAATCAATTGTATCCTTTGACCTAAGGATATTTACCCTTAAACTATTTTCTGTAAATGCTGATCTAGCCAAAATGTAAAACTGCTGAACTACATTATCAGCAAGACTAATGGCCTACAGGGTTAATGTAATTGAGGCACACCTGTCTTAACTAACAACACACTAAAGAAGGACATGGTTAGCATCACATCTGACTACTACCTTTGACGACTCAGCCTGAATGACCTGGTACCGATTTACAGCTGGGTCATCTAAAAGCAGGCTTTGGAGCAGGGTGTGAACGCAAGTCTGGAGCTATAGTGAAATACCTTAACTGCTTTGCTAACACATCCAGTAAAGAAGAGGCTAACACATCCAGAGTAAAGAAGAGGCTATGTAAACAACCATACCAGTTGTTGCAGCAGTAAGAAACAGCCAGCCAGATAAGTTAGAGCTGATCTGCCCTGAAGTGAGTTATGCTAGTGTCAAAGAAACAGGATGACCCTAATAGCACATAATGCATATATTCCAGTTCCTTTTAAAACATGGCTGCATTCTTTTTAAGAACTCTAGTTATTAGTCTGTATAGTGAGATACTTAATATAATAATTATATACTTCCCCACATACTGTATGCAAAACTTTTTAAAATAACTCTTGCACTAAAAGGCATCACGAATCAGAAATTGATCCAATTCCTTAGTCCATCTACAGCAGCAATTCTCAAC